TTGTCATTGCCATTCCTAAGAACACAGGGAAAAAAAGGCAGCTGACCTACTATACTAGTGAAAGTAAAAAAAAAAAAAAAAAAAAAAAAAAAAAAAAAAAAAAAAAAAAAAAAAAAAAGGCAAGCAAAAACAAAACTCACAACAGAAAATCCAGTCTCTTTCCACCCACATTTCTGGATTTCAGAGGCACCTTATTATAGTAATCCATACATCAGTTGGTACAGCTTGGACTTTGAAGATCTTGTGGCAGCTTTCCCTGCCTTACTAGCAGAGCTGTGAGCTTGATAACTAATCACTCCTTAATAACTCATGTTTCCTCTGCAGAAGTCCCTGAAATGCAGCTAGTGGGGGAAAATATATGAGCAGGGATTTGTGAAGTAGAAAAATCACTTTGGGCTTCTTTCCCAGTAACCCACAGTTTTTTTTTAAATGCGGGTTGAGGTGACAATGAATGCAGTTCTATTTCCCACACGCCCAGACCTTGCAATTGGGAAGTGATCCCTGGTAGTGTTTTTCAGACATATCCCCAAATAATGAAAACAAAACACAGATTTGTTGAAGGACTCTCTGGTTTGGCTGCTACTTGAATTTTTCTGTAGGAACTTTCAAAACCAGGTATCTTTCTCCCGACTATGTTCCCCCATCCGGGCTTAGACATGGGAAAATAGCATAAGCCAACAGATACAAATATATATCTGCTCAGGACTTTCCCAACTGTGACTCTAAAGTGACTGGAGTACCTGCGATCTTCATTTCTGTGATGGCACAGACTCTTTGTGAGGTGACACTCACTGAAACCACTTTTCTGGTCACCCTTTTGCCCAAAAGGAAGCATCCAAGCTGTTGCTGGATCTAAAGGTGACAACAGCCCTCTGCCCCACATACCTGATTGCACAAGCAATGCTTTGCTTAGAAGCTGATGCAGTTATTGGGGGAAATCTTCAGTATCATTTACTGGGGGAAATCTTCAGTATCTTCCCTGTTGCTGAACCTACAGTGGAACCCACACACTTCCATGTCCCATTCCTCAGCTGCACAGCCCATCCAGACAGATGAGAACTGCATCTGCCAGGGGTTGGGCAAACCAGCCCTGTTAACCCAGAAACTCGGAGTGTTCAGCCTGGTACATGCATATCAAAAAAGCATGTTGGATAGCACATGCTGCAGCTGGACATTGTCTCTTTTGGCCAAAATAGAAAGGCTCCTAAGCAGAGGCTCTTTGAGCATCTTAAGTCAACTGAGTTATGAGTTGGAAGAGCATCAGCCATGCAGTGTTATGCCCTGTTTTTCTCCTCTTGGTTCATACATTTTCACTCCTCTTTAGCTTTCTGGACACGTACTGTGTCTTGTGGTGACATGAAAGAACAAGGCCTTTAAGTCTTCATTAATTGCTACCACTGTAGTTTTAAAAGGAGCTATTTAGGAAATCCTCAGTTTTGTTACCATAGGACTGAAGCTGTAGGATTCTGTGAGAGAACAACTTAAACAGTAGCATTTAAGTAAATCACTTCAACTTTAATTCTCTGCTCCATCCAAGCTCCTCTTGGCCATAAAGAAATCTAAAGGTTCTCTCCCCTCCTCAGTGCTGCTTCACTCCAGCCCAAATTAGGAGGTACTGCCCTGTTATCTATAGCAGGTTTTAGCAATGTCCCTTCCCACCCACAGAGCACTTCCTCCTCTTCCCGAGTGAAGCAGCTGCAAAGTGCTCCTTGGCTCAGGCAGAGCTCCTCATCTGGTTTTCTTCAGCTTTAAAACAATGTTTATGCAGCTTTTGTACAGCAAGAGCAGGGTGAATGGAGGAGCACCCAGTGCACTGTATGAGAGCAGGTTGGGATGCTTGTACCTGGTGAGTTTGGCCATTACTCAGTGTAACTGATCTGGGGGGACTCCTGTGTGCCTCCTTCTGGGCTAGTTTGCTCTTTTTTTTTTCCTATTTGAAAGGTTTAGGTCTGTATTAAGTTAAAAAGGCAAAACAGGACAGGTGAGTTGATTAGCCACTCTGCTGGTTTTCTCCAGCAGGCAGGAGGAGACAAGGCAAGGAAGGAGAACAGTGAAAAGCTGACACTCACACTAGCTATTACCCCCTGTTTGTTTTTTAAACCTTTGAACCGTGGAAACTTGATAAGCAGCAAGAAAGTGGAGTAACGTTTTGTTTTCCCTGGATTTAACTCTTTTGAGATGCTGTCACCGTTCAGATTTGTGAACAGTGTTCTGGATTTCCACCTCATGTTTGGGAGAGTCTTGGGAGAGACTGCTTTGTAGAACAGGGGGTATTTTTCCCTTAAAACAGATGCCTGGCGTTAATGGTGAGACTGGGGCGTTCCTCAGCTCTCAGTAATGGTAACAGCTCCAACAGCTTCTGTAGTGCCTGAGGGACAACTTTGGCTCCCCACACGTCCTGAAGCACAACACTTCTTTCTCCACAGCTGCTTTGACTCACTGACCCAAGGTCTGGGTCAGGCAGCAGGACAGGAGCCTCTCCAGGATGTTTCAGAGCATGTCTGGAGCTCCCCAGATGCTGTCAGGTGCTTCAGCCACTTACAGATTAAAAACCTAAAGCCTGGCTCTTCCTCAGCAATAAAGATGAGCCAGGAAAGCAAGCCAGTGACCATATTTTGGCATGACTTTCTGGCAATTACAGTGGCCCTATTTATCACCCAAAGTCTCCTTTTCATTGCATGTGTGTTCCAGCATTCTGCCTTGTGCTCTTGCTTCTGGAGTCTGGCTTATCTTCCAGCTGTCTGGCCAAGTCTGCTCCCGTAAGCTCTGACCACAGGATCCTGTCCCCACAGCACATGACAAACTGGTCATAGGGACAGGGTAACACTAGCAAACACACCATCAACACTATTCTAGCAGGGTACTGCCCACCAGACCCAGCTGTTTGGGGGCTGCTTTGTGTCCAGCTCTGTTCCTAGCAAAGGTGTAACAAACAGCACTTCCACAGCTCCCACTGTCCTTACTGTTGGCTACAGGCAAATAGGTATTTTCAGACACCACCCCCCTCACACACAGACACACACACACAAACACACACACTTATTTCTCTGCAGTTGGCCAAGCTGTTGAAACTGGATCCTTTTATGGGAATGTACAAGAGGGGTTTTCATAAGCAAGCTGGAGATTCTGGAAGGCACAGTTGATGCTCTGTTCAGGTAGCTGATTGCACTCCATCCATGGCCCTTCCACCCCATTAAATTCACCCTGGTGTGCTGCCCACTTATTTATGCCTTCATTTCCACGCAGAATGGCAAATATGGTCACAGTTAAAAGAGGGGACCTCATTCATATTTGATGTAACATTTCCTTGCATCTCACAGGGAAAAAAAGGAGAGAGGAGGAAGGCTTCGAAGCACTAGGATGTTTTCATTGGCTTTCTGTTTCTTCTGTCTCCCACCCAGTTCCAGGACTACAGTAACACTTATTTATACTATCCTAGTATATATTAAAGTCTACAAAAAAGGATACAATAGGTAAAAATGGCTTTTGTTGATCCTGTACTGGTGTAGCATTTTAACAGAGCACTTCAAAGGAAATTTTTGTATTTTTTAAATATAAGCTCTCACATATTAAGAATACCAGGGAGAAGGGACTCTTGTAGTGCTGCAGTTTACCTGCAAATACTTCAATGTTCTCTTGCATTATTTTGAATCTAGCGAAAACACTGGAAAACCACAGAAACCATCAACTGAATGTAGGATAAACCAAAAGGGGAACAACTGAAGTTGCAAAACTTAGGTAGGACAGTGAAATATGAATACAAAAGAGGGGATGGGGTAAGGGCAGCAGGGAAGAGGGAAGAGTTTAAACTTAACTTGGTATATTAGCAGTGTTCCCTCAGGCATTCTATTCAAAAAGGTGGAATTTGATCTGCATTGCCTTTGAATAAGCAGTATAATCTCTAAGAACTTCTGCCTCACATGCACCTTTTGTCCTGATAGCTGACAGAACTACTTCACTGATAGTGTTCTGCTAAAATACCTTCAGGGTGAATGTGCTTTTATAAACAACCCATTCCCAAGTTACTGAAGCTGTAATGCATTTATAGGACAGAACCTTGACATGTGTAATATAAAAGTCACTTTGGGGAACTGGAGCTGGTTGATGGCAGCTGAGTCTGGCTTAATGTTCTTACCAGGACATCCTATCTCCTGCCTTCTCTTGTGCAGATTTTTCTCTAAATAAACCAGTATCTTACAGTTCCCAAACTGCCTCAAGAGCATGATTTGGCTCAGTCTCCTCATTTCCTCATCCCTGTGGTGCAAGGACTTGTCAGGATGATCATGGAACTGTCAAGTTAATGGAACACCCCTGAACTACTCGAGAGAGATTGCAAGCCTCACACTCTGCTCCTCACCTCACCAGAGGGAAGGCTGTCTGTGGAAATGGGTTTTTAAAATTTATGCCTCCCTCTTGTGTCTCTGCCGTAGGAACTTGCCAGACTATGTTTATTTCTCAAAAGATCTCTGCAAATACAAACTTTACTCGTGGTGCTGCCTTAGATTGCTGGTAAACATGTAAATCCAGGAGAGCATTGAGAACAAAACTTCTTTGAGTTGCTGAGTCTAAAATGTCCTGTGGAAATCAGCCATAATTACAACTATTATAGAAGTCATCTAATATTTAACAGAAGATAGGGAGCATGATATTCCAAGCCTTCACTGAGCACAAGCTATGAAGAGACAAATTGAATATTACTAATTCTGTTCCACCAGAGAAGAATAGTGTTGCCACTCACTCCATGAGAAGTGGGTTTAATTTGGGTTGAGAAGTTTGTTTTGGTGTTGTTTATTGTTGGGATTTTTCTTAAAAAGCACTTTTATTTGGTAGAACCTAGAGAAAACAGCATGAACAGCCAAGGAAGAGAGAATGCCTGGCCTGATCCCAACCTCCCTGACAAGAAGGTAAGAGATGTCCTTTTTTTGAAGAGTTTATCTGCACAGAGAGAGCAAAAAGTTACCCAAAGACAAGCCGAAGAAAAAATCAGGAGTCAGACGTACCTGACTTGCCCACGCCAGCTCGACCGAAGATCGCCAACTTCACTTCTGCACTCTTGGCCATGCTGGAAGGAATGCAGTGGCGGCAAACTCACTCAATTATCAAAAGTGAAGCAGAAGAACTGTTCCCAGCTCCAGCCTTCAGCTTCACCGTGTCATTGTGATGTCAATGCAGAGCCTGAGGAAGAACACCACAAGGATGGAACTGCAAGGAGCCAGGCTCTCCCCTTCCCCTGCCCGCCCCCCTCCTTTTTTCCTTATTTTTAGATAATCCTGATAATTGATGCTATGTTCGTGCTTTAAGCATTGCCGTAACACCACTGACACATTTGGCACTCTGTGCAGAACCTACCATCAGCTTTCTGGCTATTGCTTTGCTTCACACTGGCACTGTAAGATTGCAAATGGTACTTTAGAACTGCAAGCACCCGCCTTGCAAGGCTCCTAATTATTTATTTCTTCCTTTCTCTTTCAGCTAAAATTTCATATATTTACTGTACTTGAATCATATGCAGGGAATTATTTTTTGTAGAATATATTTAATAGCTGTGAGCTCTCACTCGAAGTGCCTGAAGATAGCTATTCTTCCCTTGAGCCCTCCAGCTCCAAAAAGGCTTTAATTACTCAGCAGCAGTTGCCTAAAACCCTCTAAGCCCTTGTACCTTGCTCAGTGCCCTAAACAAATCCATACCCAGAAAGTTCTCTAGGGCTCCTTTTTAAGCTGCCTCAGGTCATACATAAACATTCAGCAAAGTACAGGGTTAGCAGCAGGATGCCAGAGTTTCTGGTACTGCGCTTCGAACTTTGGGAATTATCTATGCTCACAGTTTTGCTGCATGACCTTAAATTTGCTAACCTGGATAGTGAAATCTATAACCATACCTGTCATTGTGGGATGCTTTAAGTTCTAAAGTGAAAACATGGCAATCGTGATGATGATGATGATCCTCAGCCCTGACTAAATAGTCAAATACTCGACCTCCCCTTAAAGCAGGGTAGAACTTTGTGTGAATGCACCCAGTGACGGGTTTGCTGCTGAGCTGAAGTACTTCGCTTTTGCCATGAATTGTAACAGTGGTGTAGGATGCTTCCCGTGTCAGCAATCTTTGCTCTAAAGCAAAACGCATTTCTAACACGTTATTTGGAAAAAAAAAAAAAAAAAAAAAAAAAAAAAAAAAAAAAAAAAAAAAAAAAAGAAAAAGAAAAAAAGAAAAAAAGAAAAAAAGAAAAAAGAGCCGAAGACGTTTTCTAAAATGCTTGTAAAAAGAAAAAGTAAAGACACTTTACATCGAGAACGATCCCGGTTTATCTCTGATGTCTAAATGCTCCTGGATTCCTTTTGCTTGAGAGTATCGGACCACTCTCAGTCTGCAGGGACAGTTAGAGGTACGAACTGTCTCAGGACGACTGGGATACTCGAGGAATGGCACGCCGAAAGCTCCCGGCCGCCCGCACCTCTGCTTCACATTTCCGTGCAGGCAAGTATCGATTCCCCGCCGCCGGCTGCGTCCCTCCGGGCGGCTTTTGCTCCGCGCCGCTCCGGGCAGGTGCCGCTCGGCGCAGGGCGGCTCCGCACACCGCGGGCACCGCATCCCCCCTTGTGCCTGCACCCGCAGGGTGCCCCGCTCCGCATCCTCCCTTGTGCCTAGAGAAACCCCGCTCCGCATCCCCGCTCGTGCCTAGAGCAGCCCCGCTCCGCATTCTCCCTTGCGCCCGCACCCGCGGAGCAGCCGCGCTCCGCCCGCCCGGCACTCACCTCTTTGCGCGCTGCTCGGCGGCCCGGCACGGCACGGCCCGGCCCGGCGCGGCCCTGGGCGCTCCCGCCGGCGCAGCGGCGCGGCCGCACAATGCGGAGGGTCCGCCCGCCCCTCCGCCCCTCCGCCCGGCCGCGGCTCCGCAGCGCCCGCCGCGCCCGCGGAGCTGCCGCGCCACCTGCGGGCCGCCGGGCGCAGCCTGCGCCGAGCGGGGGCCACGCGGAGCGGAGCGGAGGGATGCAGAACGGAGAGGGAGAGATGCGAAGCGGGGGGGATGCAGTGCGGAGCGGGGGGGATGCAGAACGCAGAGGGAGGGATGTGGAGCGGGGAGGATGCGGAACGGAGCGGAAGGAAGGGACGCAGAGGGCGGCCGAGGTGGCTCCGTCCCCTCGCGGTATGGTCCCGGGAGCGTAACCCGTGCCCGAGAGGAAGGGACGCAGCCCTGTAATTCGGTGGCGCCGCAGCCTTTAATTATGTGGGGCAGCTGCTGTTCACTTGCCTGGATTCTGGGGAAGCGGGTCCGGCCAAGGCTGCCGCGTAGTTTATTTTAACATCTCGTGCTCTCTCTCCTTCCCTCTCTTAGTGTACCTCAGCAGTGTGCCACCCTGTGCAGAGCCAGGCTCTCCCGTCCCGACACGTGTGACAGCAAAGTGACAGCAGGGCTGCTGCCCTATCAGACTGCTTTGCAGTAGCACCAGCTTTTTACTCAGCTTTTCCTCCCGACTTCTGCACTCGGCTTATGGCAAAAGGAAGTGTTGTTATTTCAGTTTGCAAATGGGCAGAATAAATGATGCAAATACATCAGCCTCTGCAAGAGGTTCGTGTCAGAGCCAGGGATCGAGTTCTGAAATGCTAGGACCGACTTCAACAGACAGTGAATAGTTTATTAAACTATCCAGTAATATAAAGATGCATTAGTAACAGATGTGAACCAAAGCTGGAAAGCACTTTGAGTTCAGTGGATGTTCCTTCTCTGTTTCTGTTCCAACTCAGACCTGAATGAGATACCACATGAGTAAAAGAAAAACTCTCTCACTGTCTTCCTTCATGCAAAATTAAATAAAAGTTGAATTGGAAAAGATCTTCCATGGTCCAAGTCTTTCTATAGGAGCAAGATAAGTGTTTGGGGGGCCAGGTGGCAGTCCTGAGAAGAAATGAGAACCTAATTCCCTCTAAGAAGTGCCAGTTGGAGGCACTCAGGAGCAGATCTCAAAATAGTTGCATTGCAGACCATGGAAAGGCGAAAAAAATTAGAAGGCAGATATAAAGCAGTAGTGTGGTTTATGCTTTACTTCGTAAAAGCAAAGGCTTTAAGCCTGCTCTCACTGCTTGGTTTGCATAATTTAGAGGGGTTAGCTTTTTCCACCCTCCTAAGAGAGCAACTGATGTGTATTTTGCATCTGGGGAAATGTGTGTTAGTCTCGAGGCCTGACATTTGTTTTGTGTCTATGGAATTCACCCTGCATGGGGCTGTCAAATTAAATATGGTAAGTGGCTTTTCCAAAACAGCAGATAATTTATTGGGCATTATAATCCCAGTGGCCATGCAGTCAGCTTGTGCTAAAGTCTCTTATTGGTGAAGAATTCAGTAAACACTAATCATGGACACAGGCAAAGGTTTCAGAGGGCTGAGACCCAAGACTGGTCCAGGAATGCACCAATTGCCATTTGTTTTCTGTGTACTCTGTTTCATAATGCTGATGAGGTTCTGGGGGACTTTTTCCTACCCAAAATGGATTTTGAAAGCCTTAGTCTTTCATCCTGTAGTTCAAAGGCCACCTTGTTTTTGTCATAAGCAATGTTTTTTTTTGGCTGTAGAGGCTGACATAGTGTATTTTCTCCATGGTTTTGCCATCTGTGATAATCAAAAAAATGTTATCCTGGCACCAATATTGAGATCAGTGAGTGAAGTCCATCATGTGGCTGAAGGATGGAGCAGGTTTCTTTTCTGCCTTTCCATTTTATGAAAATTTGAGGGAAGGGAAGCAGTGCTGGGGTCTGATCCCTGGTGGTCTGTGTGTTGTTAGTCTGAATTCAGCCTCATCCAGCAGAAAATGTGGAGAACACTCTTTCCCATCCATCAGAGCCAAGTGTCTTAGATTTCTTCCTTCTGTCTCTTGATGAGTTTCATATAGTGTTTCACAGCTTAATTAATTTTTGAAAATTGCATTTTGGTGTATTTAAAGATATTATTCTTGTTTTACCAGGAGGAGGAGTAATCCCAGCACAAGAAAATAGCTGTGTTATGGGAATTACTGGCTGAAATGAAGCGTACACCTCTTGGTACACTCCTTTTCTGCAGCTGTGGGGGACATATCTAGTTCAGCTCCCTGTTATCCAGACCTGACTGCACCCCTGTTTACTTAGGAAGATGATACCAGTGGTCCACAACAAGAATTTTGGTTCATTTACTGTCTACCCTGTTGTCAGAGTTTTGGACTGCAGCCTGAGCTTTGGACTACCCTTCTTCATCAGAAACTTTGATGGCTGAGGAGCAGATAATAAAATAGGAGTGTGAGCATCTTGAAATACCAATGAAGCCGTATGTTCTTAAGTCAAAACAAAATGTGGTTTCAGGATTGATTTTCAGAGGTCCATCCAAGCAGTTACAGTTGACAGAAGCATTTTAGAAAGGCTCACAATTTCAAGTACCACTAAATAATATTTTTTGGGTTTCAAAAATGTATCCAGGTCCTGCCAAAGGCCAGAGAGTTCTTTCTGCCTGGTTTGGAGGTGCTACTTTTTTTAATGCCAAGCACTTCTATTGGCTTATTTTTTCATCTTGGGTGCTTCTGGTGTGTTTTCTGAAGGTGTCTTTTTTTGTGAAAGCCAATGACATTTGATTCCTGAAAGATGGCAGAGAGGACTGGTGTGATACTGGAGGCCTGGCAACTAACATGTGAAGAAGACACGTGAGCAGGAAAGGAGCTGAAGTTGTGGGTTGTTGGTTCTTTGGTGGTGTTGTTTTTTGAGTTGTTTTTTTTTTTTTTTTTCCTTTTGAAGCTGGAAATCCCCTTATAGATAGCAATTTTGTAGGTTTCAACAACTTCCAAAAAGAGATTTGGGCAGGGGGTTTGTTGAGATTCATGGAGTCTCTGACTCTTGTGGGACTGAGTGGCATTTCATCTCCTGAGCACCTCTGTGCAACTCAGTCCAAGTGTCTACAAACTGTAGAGCAGATCATGCCACAGGTAGCATGGATGAGAGAGCAGACTCCTCTGGGACATTTCCTGCAGTAAGGAAGGGGCTGTTGAACTCGGGGCTGCTGTCTTGGCTGCTATGGTAGAGAACAGCCCAGATTTGCCATGAGGATTGGTCTAGAACAGAGCAAATCTGGTCAGAGTTGGCATTAAAAAGCAAATCTGTGATTTGGTTTATTTGTCATCCTTCCTTTGAGCCCTTCTGCTGGGAGCTGAGATGTGACTTGATAACTAGTAGGAAAATGTCGCCCTGATTCTTAAGATTTTCTAAAGCCTTCTGAGTTTACATTCTGTTAGAAAACTTTCCCACACATTTTCTATAAACAACATATTGTTTTGCATTCCTTCGTGGGGGTGGAGGAAATTGATGTACTGCTGGTTTGTCCAATGTCTTTGGAAAGGTGGCCCATTCACTCTCCAATCCACTGTTGTTGCCTTCAGGGGAAGGCAAGGCGACCTGGTTTCAAGGAACAGCACGGCAGCCCAGTCTCCCCTGGGCCACTCGGGCCAACGACACACGCAGGNTCCTATAGCAACAGGAAAACTAGCATGTTAACACTATGTTTGCAGCTATTACTAAAGGTTCACATGGAAGGATTCAGATTGTTTTCTTAATTTTCAGAGAATATCTTCCAAATGTTTTTGTGTTGGCTCTCAGCAATGTACATAAATCTGCTCAGTTACAGTAATCTAGCACAGTGAAAAATAATGCAACTTTGTCATTAAATTATGGATAAGCTTTGCTGTTAGTTTGGCTTGTAGTCAATGTGAAGTATTGCTGGTTTAAATTAATATTGCATTTTCTCATATTTTCCCTGGTAGCTTATGAAATGCTGATTTTATAGTTATGTTTTCTTGAGTGTAAGCTAAGCATTTATAACTTCTTTTCTGCTCCACTTTTTCCTCAATATATAGAAGAAAAATCAAATACACAGTGCAGGCTTTATTCTTTAGAAGTGTTTATTTCTAATGGAATAAATAAGACCACAATCCTGCAAGTATTTATCTGTGTTTAACCTTAGATGGACAGGCTTAATGGAGTGGCCAGAGGAGGCACAGCTTCCCCATCAGTACCACTTGAAGGTGCTATGTGGAGCCACCTGCAGAGCCCAGGCTTCAACATTTTGTCCCATTTGGCTCTGTGAGGTGCCAAAACAGGGCACAGGAGATGAACATGGTATGCTCTTGACAGCACAGTGTGGCTCTCACACGTGCAAATGCCTCTGTCCTAATGCAGACCTTCTGGCTCAGCAGGCATTTGGCACATTTGTGCAGAGAAAGAAATACACAGCTCGGGTTTCTTGCAGTAGCAAGATTTTTATCAGGTATATTTAACAGTGATGCATGAGCAAAGCTGAAAGACTCAGCTCAGTAGCAGCTACTGCCAAGTAGAGGAGGGAGGTATCAGCCCATGTTTTATAACACATGGCCAGCAGATATACTTCATATTGCCCAAGTTAAAATTCTGCTAGCCTTTGTTTCTTCTCACCCTTGAGCAGGTTGCATCCTGAGAGTCTGTCCTTAAAAATGGGCAAGCTGAGTCCTCACTCATAGCCATACACACAGCTGTGACAGCTCTGATCACAGCTTGGTGATGCTGTTACTTGGTTTGCTTTTTTGTTGAGGGTTTGCTCTTCTGGTATTGTTATTTCTCCCTCCACCCTTCGATCACAGAGAGATTGTTTAATAGGTTTTTGTTAATGTCAATTTAATTGCTGTATTGTCAAAAAGAAAGCAGGGTGACTCTAACTCTCTTCCACCTATTTTGTAGTGACTAAATATCTGCTCACTAAACCTGAACAAGTTCAGTTTCTGCACCAAAGTAAAGTTAAACTAAAAATAAAATCACCTACAAAATGGTCAGCAAATAGGCTAGAACTCTT